GACGTTCCATCAGAGCACGTTGGGGAGGTAAAGCGAGCAAAGCAGCATGTTCTGTCCGAACGCCCGCAGGCGCCTGAAGGCCTCCCAGGCGTCGTTGAAAATGTTGTACTTGAGGAAGACGCGGTGCTCCATGCTGGTGGACAGCCCGATGTCGCGGCTCATAATGTAGATGCCGTCGTTGTGCAGCGCGCACGTCAGGTTAAGGCCCGACTTGGACGTGTTCTCCTTGAGCTGCAGCCACTCTCCGGTGGTGACGTTGTACGACTGCACGGTCAGCACGTCCTCCGTCTCGCTGGGCCAGCGCCGCGCGTGCTCCAGTTTGTGCGTGTAGCCACCCACCAGGTAGATGGTGTCCTCCACCGACAGCATCTGCTGCTTGCGCACGTGCACCGTGCACGGGCGGAACGCCGTCCATGTGTCGGCCACGGGGCAGTAGCGCAGGAGGTTGGTGTTCCGCACTGTTGGGAGACACAAATGTCACGGCCCGCCCTGCAAGAACGGCCTTAAAGCCGTTGATGAAAATGTTTAAAGAAATATGGATGGTATTGCCAATTCTAAAGATTTTAATTAACCTGGGTAAAAATATATTTTTTCAATCTAGATACACAAACTGAGTCAAGTGGCTTGACTGGACGTAAAGGGGGCATTTGGGCTTTCGGCCTTTACGCTCACCTCTGGCCGTGTATCCCCCCATGACGTAGATCATTCCCTGGCACTCGCAGGCCGAGAACTCGGCCAGCGGGTCGGGCATGGACGACACGCAGGTCCAGTAGTCGTTCTCCGGGCTGTAGCACTCCACCGTCCCCAGACTCTGGCCGCCGACGGCGTACAACTTGCCTTGCACCGCCAGAAGCTTGAAGTTAGACCTGTCCGACAGCAAAAGTGGTCAGTTCCACTTGGGTCAGGTGACAAGGTGTAAGCGCGGATTAGTGTTGAGCCAGGTTGTTCGGGTCTACCGACTGAGTATTTAGTGCCTACAAGGTTTTACTTTTAGCCCCTGCATTTAAAAACACATCCGTGCTGTCTACTCCGAACCTGGTCAAAATAGGCTTGCCACTCTTTTCAACCGCAAGTTGTAAATGGAGAGTTGTGGCTAATATGTTGAAAACAGCACTCATCTCATGGTAACCTTGTACTATGTTGACGTTACCTCTTCTGGTTGAGTGGTGCCACCTGGTTCCACTCGTTCCTGCAGGGGTTGTAGCAGTGCGCGGCCGAGATCTCCTGGCTGCTGGCTCGGTAGCCACCGACGATGAAGAGGTAGTTGTCCAGCACAGCCGAGCCGTACCCTCTGATGTTGATCATGTCCCCCGGCAGGTTGTTGGCCAAGGGCTTCCAGCGCTGCTCAGCCTCACCGTACCTCAGCATGGACCAGGGCTCGTCCTGGTCCGGCACGTCCAGGCACAGGCTGCTAAAGTCCCCCATGGCCACCAGGGTGGCGGCGCCCCGCATCCGCATCTCCCTCGCCTGCTCCCTGACGGTGGGAGGCAGGCTGCGGAACTCGGCTCGCCTCATCATCGGGTGGTAAAAGCAGCTCATGAATTTGAGGCAGGCGCCGCGCAGCTCGTGGGTTCCGTAGACCTCGGAGAGGCTGTAGAGCTCCACGCAGTTGTCCGGCCGGATCTCCGCCGTCACGATCTTGAGGATGGAGGTGACCTGCAGGAAGGAGGCGGTCTCGATCAGGTCCTCCAGGGTCTCGTTGGCGATCTCCACTTTAGAGGTGTTGATGAACTCCAGGACCAGCTCCAGCCCGGGGGCGCTGAGGCCCTGCAGCTGTACCGAGTCCTCCGTGGACTCCTTCATCCCCGAGCTGTACAGCGCACGAAAGTAGTCGCTCTTCTCGATCAGCTTCCTCTTGTTCACCTCGTACGTTTTGTCCTCCATCACGATGGCAATGTTTTGCTCCGAGGACATGTCGGCAAGAGTGCGTCTCGAGCAGGCCGACTTCAATGGATTTTGTTTACATCTCACCGGTGTTGAGGGCTCCAAATATGGCCATGTTCGGCCCATTGGTCGTCATCGAGCAACTCTCTGCAGTCCGGGGAAGCTAACCTGCTAAC